CAGAGGCCTTCGGGCTGCTGCCGCCTAAATCCTGCCACACTCAGGAGGCACCTCTATCCCATTCTCACTCCGATAGAGGTGGTGGGGCTCTGAGCCTTAGCATCCCAGGCGGGAGGCCATCACCCAAAGTCAGGACCCTGTCATTTGCTTTTCAGCAACTGGTTCTGGCTTCTAGGAAGTCCTCACTAAGGAGAAGGGAATCACAGCACTTCCTGGTTGGTTCTCTGTGCCTGGCCTTGCTCAAAGGGCCTAGATCTCCCTGAAACCCCAGGAGATGACCCCTGCTATTTTCACCCCACTTTACAGATCAGGAGAACTGAGCTACCGTAACTCCCCCAACCCCAATACCTCAGAATGTGAACTTACTGGGATACAAGGTAGTTTCAGATATAATTAGTCAAGATGAGATCATTTTGCAGCAGGGTGGCCCTAAATCCCACGTGACTGATGTCCTCAGAGGATGCAATGTAAAGACAGACAGGGAAGGTGCTGTGTGGAGAAGGAGACTGAGCTGTGCTACCACAAGCCCAGAGAGCTCAGGACTATCAGAGGCTGGAAGGGGCCAGGAAGGATCCTCCCTGGAGCTGTGGAGGGAGTGCGGTCCTATTGACAGCTGGATTTCAAACTTGTAGCCTCCAGAACTGGGAGAAAACAGATTTCTTCTGTGTTAAGCCATCCAGTGTGTGGTACTCAGCCAGCCTGTAGCAAACGAAGGTTTGGAAGCAGGTTGCTGAGCTCCCAGCAACCCCTCTGCCCCTAACCTTCCCAGGTGGGGGGCCTTTGAGGGCAAAAGACTAAAAGATTATTGGGGTCTAACCGGAGGGCAGGTTAGAGGAGTCAACTGTGGAGAGCTAGCATGCTCTGTCCTGTCTTAGAGAGGTAGAAAACAGGCACACCAGGCAGGCCAGATGTCCTCAGCTCCTGGCAAGACAAAAGGCCATCAAGGGAGACAGCCACCTTGTGGGGAGGACGGGCTCCTGGGATAAACTAGGTATGGCCCCGTGTGGGACTTGCATGTGCTGTCACCTCTGCCTGCCCCCTCCCCTTCCTTTATTCTAAAACCATCCCTGAGAACCTGCTGGACACTAGTAGCATTGATATAACCCAAAGAAGCCAATGCCCTTCCCCTGGAGGCTTCTAGACAATGAACAGCTCAGTGCCAAGGTTGCCACCTCCTTGAAAGGCATCCTTCACCACCACTATACTCCCCATCACAGTCATGGCACCCTGCTCTCTCTAGGACAACTGCCATTTGCTGAAGTGTTCCTGTCTTTTTGTCGTTTGCTCACCTCTCTTTGTGCTCCCCGATCCAGTGTCCAAGCTCCCTGCTTAGTGGCTGAGTCTGCCTTGCCTATAGTTATACCCTCAGCATTCGGTAGTCTCAGACCCAGAGAAGCTGCTCAGGCATATATTTCTACAGGTAGTGAAAATAGTTCCTGCTTTTGGAGGCCCACTTCCTAGATGAAGAAACTGAGGTTTTAAAAAAGCAGGCCAGATGACGTGGGAAATGGGTGACTTCCCAGCACACCTCCATCCCTTGGCCAGGCAGGCAATGGCAGAAGATGATGTTCCACTTAGAACATCAGCCACCAACTCTTCCATTTCTGAATGAATTCTATCCTTTCTCAACACACACCTTACCTTATGCTCTCCTGCTGGTGAGTCCACTGGCACCCAGCACAGGGAGACAGGGATCTCTCTAGGGGCCCAGGAGAGCAAGCCAGTAGGTCTCCCAGGCTTTGTCATCCAACATCGCAGATCTCATTTAGCATAGGCTACAATGAGGGGAAGACTACTTGCAGGAACGTTCACTGGGCCCCTGTTCTGTGGCAGGCACTACTCTTAAGTGCAGTGCTCTGTTCTTGCCCTTTGGTGGAGCCGGCACCCTTTGGTGAGGGGGCAGATAACAACTCATGCACAAATGAATAAATAAGATGATTCGAGAGCAAGGCAAATGCTCCGAGAAAAATAAAGCAAGCTGATTCAACAGTGGGACAGTGACAAATCCTCACTCATCAACATCCCAGAGGAAGAAATATGGAGAGGATAAGCAGGGAAATGCTCTAGGATACCAGACAGCAATTTTCTCATCCTTGACACAAAAGCCAAAGGCAGTGGGACTGGGAGGACAGAGGACATGGGGCTGGGATCCAGGAGACACCTACTCCAACATGGTCCTAAGGCACTGGAGGACCCCATATTATCCCTTCTGGACAGGAAGTGTTGGCACGAGATTGTCACTCTTTCCAGCTGCTGCCTGATAAGATGGCAGGGTGACCCGAACTCCAGGCTCCTAAGAGCCTGCCAGGGGTCCTTTCTCCAAGGGAACAGTGACTAATTCCTGGAGCATCTTGCTCCTGATTTTGCATTCCCAATGCTGTCTGTAAGGGACAGAGGAGGGGAGAAGGAGAGTCCTCCATCAGGCAAGTAGCACCCTGGGCCTGGACTGGAGGCTTCTCAGTAGGGCACTTTGCTTGGCAAGGATGCTCCCTCTTCTGACAGAAGTGAGGGAATTGTCCCACGATGCTCATTCTTTCTGTTCTGTTTTCTTGGAGCCTTGAGAGGTCATCCTACGGTGATTTCCATCACCTCACACAGCGCTGTACACACCTCCTCACACCCCTCCCTGTTCCTGGAACAGCCCAGAAGCCCCTACTACATTTGGATCCACTCCAGGACTCCTCTTTCCAGGGAAGGGCAGCGGAAGGAGCAAGCCAGCCTCAGAAAAATCCCAGAAGGGATCTTAAACGCAGTTACCCACATCAGGCTTACTACTAATACTCCCAGGAACAGTGCTAATGACAGCAGTTACCAAGTGCGTAGCATGTATCAGTCACCATGCTGGCACACAAGCCCTTTGTCATCTAATTTGATCCTCACAACTGCCTTTAAGAAACGTACAATTACCCTGCAAGAGAATAAAGGCACGGAGCTCTCTCCTCACGGCTGTTCGGTACCTACAGAAAAACTGAGCCTCCACCTTGGTCCCTATCTCCACTCATGCCCCTCAATTTTTTAATCTAATGGAATTCTGGAGGGTGAAAGAGGGTCCCTTGAAAGAACACCGCAACATCACAATTGCCTTTCATGAAATGCTGCCTACACTGCAGAACACTGGCTCCCTATGCCTGGCCCAGCCTCCCTGCAGCTCAGTCAATTGGATTGTGTCACAGTTTACCTCCCTTTACAGATGGGAAAACCCCCAAACCCAAGGGGAGTGACCACACATGAACACACGAAGTGGCAAAGGCAAGCAGAAACCAATCATCTATATCTACTCTCCCTGGTTCTTTCCATGCAGAAATCTGTCTGTGTGGCCCCTGTCACTCCAGCAGGCAGTGTCAGCCAGCCTGGGACAGTCCCAGTCCTCTAGGCCCAGGCTAGGAGGGCTGCAATAAAACCATTCCTTTATGTTTATGCTCAGCCTCCAGACAGGCCCTAGGTAAAGTGCCCATTTTACAGATGATGACCTGAAGGCTCAGATAATTGGGGCCACCATCCCACTACAGAGCAGAGGAGGGTGTGCAAAGCCAGGTTTCTCATAGTAGCCCCAGCAGGGCCATCCTCAGGCAAGCTCCAGTTGCCAGATTACAAACCAGGCCACATTCCCTGATTTCCTGTGGGAGAACGGGGTGAAAGGCTCCCTACCACTCATCGAGAACATCATTCTCCTCCACTCGGCTACTAGAGCCAAAGTCAGGTGGTCCTGTGAAGGCATGGACATAGGGCTGGGAGCCAGGAGGCACCTCTGATCCCCGACTCAGTGTTTATACAGTGGACTACTTCATAACATTCCACCTAGACAGGGGTAGGATACAATCAGATGGTCACCCTCTCCAGCTGCTAGCCTCCTGCGTCCCGCGGAGCCCATGCCACATCCTTTCTGGGGCCATATTCTCTAAGTGGAAGGGAACTGGATTTCCAAAGCGTTTTGCTCCTGACTCAGCAGCCTCAGTACTGTCTATAAGGGAGAGAGGAGGGCAGGAGGACAGAGTCCTCCACCAGGCAGGTGCCACCTGGCCTTGAACTGGGGGCTTCTCAGTAGGGGACCTTGCCTGGCAATGATGCCACCTATTGCAGAAGCTGTGGATGCCCCAAGGGGCAGAATGAGGCCCCACATTCCTTGGTGACCTCCCATCCTACATGATCCAAACCTTGGTGCAGATAAAACAAAGGGCGGCTGGGATGGTTCTCCCACACCACTTGCCTTTGTCTCTTTCCCCCAAAGACTTATGGGGCTTATCAGGCAGCAAGATGAACCTCTAATTGCCACCTGGTTCCTGTTGCATCTATGACCTTCCGCAAATCCCAGCCCCCTTTCAGGCTGCCCCTCACCCAGAAGAAGAGCCTGCTGAAGCAGAGGGACCAACACTGTGGGAAGAGAGCAAGACTCCTTGATTGTCTATCAATTACGGAACTATCTCTGCCGTGCAGGAAAGAAGAAAGGACATCTCTCTCCCCTACGCCTTTAAACACCCAGGTGCCAGACAGTTTTTGCGCAAAAACTAGTTTGCAAACACACTTCGACTTCTGGGAAGCTGCCCAGCTCTACTCCTCCTCTCTGCTCCCTGCTTCCTCCTTTCCCGGATGGGAGGTGGCCCTCGGACAGCTCCCTGGGGCAGGGCTCCTGTGGGGTAGGCAGTTGGGCAAGAAGCACGATTGCCAAGGGCCACCCCGACTTCTCGACTTCAGCGGCTTCCGGACGTTAACAGCCCCCCAAGGCCGCCACCGTCGGCCAAACCTTTCTCACCCGCAGTCAGGGCCAAGGAGGAGCGCCCCCGCGTGGCCGGGTCGGAGCACAGTCAACTAAGTGGCGCGTCTGGGCGCGCGCGGGCGGCAGGGACTTGGGGTGCCGCAGTCCCCCAGGCGGAACGCAGCGTCCTTCGAGCCCGCCTGCCACCTAACCCCGCCAAGCTAGAAACCCAGCCCCAAGGCCGAACTTGGGCGCTCGCGCCAGGCTGCCCCGCCAGCCTCCGCCCGCCCGCCTGGCCCCCACTTACCGCTTGTCCCGCAGTCGCCTCACCATGCGGCGGCCGCTGCCTGCGCTCCGGGGCGCCGGGGCATCCCTGGGCGGGGTGCGGGACGGCTCGGGCGCTGCCCGCGCGGTGTGGCCCGCTCGCTTGCGCTCCGGGACTTGATCCTCCCGGGCCGGCGGGCGGGCGGTGGCTCGGGGCTCCTCCCTCCGGCCGAGGGCGGGTGTGGGGAGGGAAGCGGGAGGCGAGGCGGGCGCTTCCTGGAGGGGCGAGCGCTCTCCTCGGGCGGAGCGGGCGCGCCCGGGCACCCTGGGCCCCGCGGGAGCCGGACGCTCGAGGCCCAACCCAAAGGGTCCGACCGGTCAAAACGGGGGTGCGAGGGCGCGAACGTCCCCGCGGGAGCTCGGCAGGTCTCCGCGCCGCGGGTTCGCGCCCGCCCCGGGCCTGCTTCTGGGCGTCAAGACTCCAGGCTCCGCGCACTCGGCATTGTGCGCTGCGAACGCGGAAACCGAGGGGTGAGGTTCGCGCCCCCCGCGCCAGAGAGGAGCTACGCTGCGCCCTCGGGGAAGCGCCACGCCGCCCAATCTGCGCTGGTGGAACAGCGCTAGGACCGCGGTGTTTTCTTCCTTTGTATTATTTTTTCTTTCAATAGCGTTCTCTTGCCGCCAGAGACAGGGAGGATGACACATTCTCTGACACAGACGAAAAGATAAAACGATAGCAATAGGGCCCTGGGCGAGTCAGAGTGACAGCAGTTCGTGGTCAAGACCAATTAAAGCCTTCTGTGAAGGCTGAGGTACAGGCTTTTGAGTGCCTGTTGCTGGACACTCCAGCTGCTGGTCGTTGAATGATATTTTTGTGTCCTCCAGGCAAGTTAACCGCCCAGCATCCAACAGCTGAGCGTTTTTGCACCAAGTTCTGAAAGGCGGGACCCTCTTGAGCATCCCAAGGCCCTGCACTGAGCCCTTGGTGCTAGGATTCAGGACCAGGCACTTAGGGTTAAGATCTGGCACTTGGGTGGCGTTTCCATTTTGAGCAGGTGAGGGTTAACAAGGGAGCTACTGGCAGCCTGCAACCTCCCTCCTTGGCTGAGTCTGAGTCAGAGGCACTTTGCAGTCTTGGAGGGGCAGCCACCAAACAGCCCCAGGGCTCTGAGCTTTGTTCTCAGCCTGCCTGTGCACCTTGCCTTTCTGCAACCCTCCTCTCCTTTTTTTTTTTCAGCTGAAGACCTCCAAACCTTCAGCGCAGCTCTGAGACAAGCCTACCTACAGAACTTAGATCCAGCTCCAGCACAGCTTCCTCCAGGAAGCTTCCCTGACTACCTTGCCCCAGAATCCCTTGCTTCTCCTTCCTGCTGCAGGACAGCCAGGCAGATGTGGATGATGGTAGCCAACAGGTAATGCTGTCAAGTTCCATCTCTGGATGGTAAACCCAGGACCCAGACAGAGTATTGAATGAAAAGTGCAAAGGTTGAAGTCAGGTTGCACAACGGATCCATTTGGGACACGAGAGTCTGCACCTTCTCTAGAGACCCAAAGAGGAAGAAAGAAGATACAGACTGGATCCCTGGCCAATGGAACAGGCCAGAGGCCAGAGATCACAATAATTCCACCCCTAGCTATCTAAAGAGAAACAAAAAGGTGTCCACACAAAATCTTACACATGAAGGTTGTTGATGGCATGATTCACAAATGCCAAAATGTGGAAACCCAGTCAGGCATGATGTTGTACACCTGTAACCCTATCATTCTGGGAGGCTGAAGCAGGAAGATCACAAGTTTGAGCCAACCTTGACAATTTAGCAATCTCAGCAAGATTCTGTTAAATTAAAAATAACAAAATTAAAAGAAGAGAGGAGGAGGAGAGGAAGAGGAAGAAGAAAAAAAGGAGGAGGAGGAGGAGGAAAAAGAAGAAACAAGCTGGCTATGTAGTTTAGTATGAAGGCCTGAGTGCTGATGGGATGTGGGGGAGGGCAGATGGAGACAGCCCATGCTCATCAACTGCTCAATGGAGAAAGAAAACTATGCCGTGGAATATCATTCCAATTCAGAAAGATATGAAGGACTAATTGACAAGTTCCACAGTGGGGACAGATGTTGAAAATGTTACGTTAAACAAAAGGAGCCTGCCATCAAAGACTGTTACTAGAGTTTTATGGCAAAAGCCTTTTCAGGAGTCCCGAAAGACCAAGCTTGGCCACCTTTCCATAATGGCAGCCAAGGAGCCAAGCAGCGATGAGAAAGAGAAATCTTAATCGCCACAGTCATGCTGGGAAGGAGAGATAAAGGGTTTCCATATCTGTCTTTCAGGGACTTCCAGAAGCTTTGGAGTTTTGTAGCATAGGGGAACAGGTTGGGAGTTTGCACAGCTGGCAGGGTAGGTAATTGTAGGCAAGTCATGATCTGGTCAATCAGTGTTTCAGGATGAGTTCTGAGAGGTCCTGGGAGAGCCATTATGGCTTAAGTGGGCATTTCAGCTCCTATTACGAGACATGGCTCCTGGTGAGGGGCAGCCTAGGTTCCATCCACAAGGTCATTGCTTCTTGGGAAGTGACCTCATGATGGGGCAATCTTGCAAGGCTCTGCCTGGAGTCTGAGATGACTAAGGATGTAGAACAATGACTGGAGATGTCTAGGCATTGCTTTAGAGGGTCTGAAACAGGACATTATAAAAACTGGCAAGTGGATGCAGGTGTGGTGGTACCTGCCTATAATCCCAGCACTCAGGAGGCTGAGGGTAGGAGGATCATTGTGAGTTCAAGGCCAATCTGAGCTAATAGTGAGACTCTGGTTTCAAAAAACCAAAAAACTCTGGCAATTAGATATCCCTTCAAATGCTGAAAATTAGTTACTCTTGTCTTGGTGTCCTCTATCTTGGACGAGGATGAGATAGGCTAGGCAAATTTGAGACTAAAATCTTGCAATTATATTACTCCTTAAGTAACTAACATGCCTATGTGCAGAGCTGAGCAGGGATCTCAGCCAGAGTTTTAAGGTAACAAAGGAGGCAGATATAAATGAAGACAGAGATGCCAAGCTTTATCCTGTTTTTTATTACCACTGAGTGTCTGCAGGCTCAGCCTCTGACTCTTTGTTATGAGACCATATATTATATGGTCTCATAGATGAAATGTCTAGAATAGATAAATCCATAGAGGTAGAAAGTGGATTTGTGGTTGCCTAGGCCTGGCCGATAAGAACCAGGGATGTTTGCTATTGATATAGAGTTTCTGTTGATACAGAGGATGTCAGCAATGTTCCAAAATTAGATTATAGCAATGGTTGCATAACTTTTGATATATCCAGACCATTGATTTATGCACTATAAAGGAATGAATATCTGGTATGTGGATTATATCTCAATAGAACTGTCTTAAGTAAAAGTAAATTCAGGGATCAGAAGAGCCCAAAGGTCAGTTGACAAAGACCAAGTATCCATCACATGTTGATTCTACACATTCTGTGCTTGAACAACACACTATGCAAGACTGCAAAATGTGTAAGGCAGCCTTCCCTTTCCCTGGTGGAGAGCTCTCTGCACAGTAGGAGACCTGAATTCCCCTGAGTTCATGTAAAGGCCTGCCATCCAGTGTTTATCTTTTCTGCAATCCAGGCTGTTTGGACAAACCAGATGGCCTATATGCTTCCAAGTGCCTGAGAATTAATGACACCTTGGGAGAGCACACCTGTTTACCAGGATGGGATAGCCCTCAGGTGTGCAAGAGGGGAGGGAGGTTGTTCTAGTGGTCTATGCTGCATCCCCAGTCATCCTAAATCTTGTCTGTAATGGTTCTGGTGATCATCCTGTCTCAATGGATGGAATTCTGGTCCAGTTTCTCAAATAGTTGCAGTCAGACTGACTGGGACTGAAATCATCTAGAAGGTTCTTTCCTACACATCTGTAACAGTACATGGCACACCCCGCCACAGTCAGTATACTTCAGTTTCTTAGTTGCCCAGGTTAATAGTTCCTGTTCCAGTTCCAGTTGCTTTTGTCTCTTAGAAACAGCTGATCACTGTGATGAGCGTTATATAAACAAATTCCTAACTGACAAGGCATTCTGCTTCTGCATTTCCTGCTTGCTTATCTCATATAAATCCTAGACCACCAGAGATCAGGGCCTGATATTCTGGGAATGACCCCAATTAGTGCCTATCAACATAAATAAATCTGCTTCCAAATCCTGGGTGTCATTTTGGTGTTGCTGCTTGCCCTTGCATCTGGTATATCATCTAGGAACACCAATCATTCTGACCTCTTTGATCACCAGTTGTGGCGCCCTCAAACAGAACAGGGACCTCTCCAGGTCCCAGTGGGAAGGTGTACCATCAAGATTTAGAGAATTCCCTCAGAGGTCTGGAGGAGGATACCTGGCTTCCTGTTCTAGCAGCTCACATCAGACCCCAAGAGGAGGAGGACATAATCTGTCTGTGGGTCTATCTGTCTGTTTGTCTGTCTGATTCCAATAAGAACCTAGGGTCACCCTAGTTAGTCAGTTTGTCAGTCCTGCTCAGAGTAGAAGAGCTTGATCAACTCTTGTGAGTTAAGGTTACCCTCAAGGAAAGGGCGCCTGGAATGTTTAACCCTTCATGTCCACTGAATGATTGTGTGAGTGAGTAGAATAGATAGCATAAGCAATAGGCTGCTCCATCTGTGCACCAAGTCCGGGAAGCACTAGTCATGGTGGCTGATGGGCCCTCACCTGAGATTTCATGGCAGTTGACATATGGCATAATAGAGGCCTTGCAGCTTTTTTAGCTAAGTCATGCCTAGATCCCCATAAGGGGCATGGCCAGATGGGCATCTGAATGCTCTCTCTTCAAGGCCTGCTCACCTCTTTGTCTGTTGCATCATTGTTCAGGGGTACACAAAACACAAGTAGAAAGTCAGAGGTGGGAATTAACTAGTTAAAACCCAGAGTAAATGACTGCAGAAAAAGGGCTTTTATAGAGTTAAAAATGAAAACTGCTCCCTGCATCTCAATAGGGAAAGAAAAGAAACTACAAACAGGCTGATTTCCTGAGAATCCTGACTTGGTGCTCTTATTGGCTGCCAAAGTTGCCACTAACAGTTTCACCCCCTGCTCCTGATTCATCTACTTCTAGCCAACTGAACTGGTTCCAGCTAGCCATTGCCCGCATTTGGCCATAGAGGCCCTTCCCTGGAAA